CAAGATTCGGAGTTGTAAATTTCAATCACCCTATTTGATCAGCGGCCCCGTTCAAGACTCAAAGCGGCTTCACCGCGGGCCCTATGATCTGCGTCCTTGTGCAGCCTTCTACCTTGCCTTAACGGCGTCCATCAAGTCACTGGCCTCGTTGGCAGCCTCGAGGAGACGAGTGTCACTTATGGAGAATGCCAAGAGCTATTCCCAAAGAACGTGGAAGTTCAACGTTCAACATTGAAGGGTTGTACATTGAAAGGATCATAAAATTGCCTGGAACGACTTACAAAGTTCATTCGTCTAGTACTACTAAGGTCTGCCTGGGAAGAACTAATCATATCTTTGCCTCGATTCTAGATTAAGTTGCTTGAGCATGCTGCACATTAATGCATTACGCGTTTCCGCAGCACGTTGCATGGGATAGGCTGTAGCTGCAGGGAGAAGCTCTTATCTCAGAACTCGCCTTCACCTATGTCGTCTCTGGCAGCTTCGCTAAATCTACTTTGCTCCAAGTTGCAGCAACGTTGGATGTTCCGGATGATCTGACATTAGGGAATATCAGAGCCTCTCTCGAACATGACGCGGCATCAGGCAGAACCACTTTTACTCGTCCCAACTACGCTGGTAACGTCATCTCCACAGTTGGTGCGTTCTCTATGATCTTCGCTATTCACTCCACCGCATTTATGGCTGCGGAGTAGGAGATGCAGCGGACGTCGAAGTTGAACGTTGAACCCTCGATCCTGTCAAGGGTTCTGATAAGGTACACTCACGGAACATATTGACACATCTGACGAAATCTGATTGATATGAAATAGGCGTTGCTGGCCACATTGTTTCTTAGGTGCGTGCATCAGGGAATGCCCAGCCCTCCCAATCTACCTGTATTCATGTAGACGCACTTAGTCACGGTGCTGCATCTCGTGGTGGAGGCTGTGGGTGCACCATGCAGGAAACGCATGTGAGTCGTACGACTGAGTATGTAAGGTGGTGGCATCTGAAGCTTGAAGCTTGCCCGGTCCTGTATCTACGTGTTTTGGGGATCAGTTTCAGTTGTCGTTTCTACAATACTCAAATGCACCAGAACCAATACCTCCGAACAACCACCTTGCTGGCACGAAGGATCGTCGAGAAGCTGAGGAATGATTTAAATAAGGCGTTACTAGACGTCTTACATGTAGTGAGGACTCTCATTCAAACCAGTTTCCGAAGTATATCCACCAGTGCGCATCCGTTCCTGCCAGTGTTGCACGCATTGACATATATACAGTTCCGAGTCAGCATGCGCATCGTAATCACTTCATTTATAATCCACTTATCTCCCACTAGTGTCTTTTGCTCGTCGAAGCATCATCTCTTGGACAAGTCTTGTATCCTGGCTCGTCTCTCGCTTCATCACCATCTAAAAACCAAGAAACTAGGCTAAAAAAAGGCCCTTTAGGATTTTTTTCGAGCCCTGGACCACTCTGCCTTAATGGCAACGTCCGATCAGTCAAGTCACTGAGTATTCGTTGGCCTCGTTGGCAACTTCGAGGAGATGTCATCATTACGGGACGATGCCAAGAGCTATTTCCGAAGAACGTATTCAACAAAAGGCCCATCATTACCTGGAATGACTTAGGAAGTATTAAATTCAAGGTTTGTGTAGGGAAGATTAATCATTGCCTCACTTCTAGATCAAAGTATTTGAGCACATTAATGTGGCATCGCGCATCCCCGCAGTACACGTTGCCTGCGATAGCCTTAATCTCCACTTTCTGAGGAGAAAGTCTTATCTAGAACTGGCCTTCATGCACGTTGTATCTACCCGCTTCAACTCCGCTGAATCTATGCTGCTTCGAGTTGCAGCAAGAGTGGATGCTCCGGCCGTATCTGAACGTTTGAACTTATCAAACTGGAAACCTTCGATGGAGTCACATTGCCCTTTTGACTAATCACTGCGTACTTTCAACATCGATCACGCTGCTCGCTCATTCATTGTGACGCTCTGTCCTTTGCCCTAATCATAGCGCCGTTTCCTACTTACCTGACACCAGGCTCACAGTATTTAAGTAGTTAGTGTCATACTCATTCTTTGGTTTGTGTGAAATCATATGCCATTCCTATCGGAACTCTATTCATAGAACTAGACGCAATGATTAATAGTTGTATACATACCAGGTATTACGATCGATGACCATCATCGTGTGGAGGAGATGCACAGCAAAGAAAAAGCACGAAACGAGCCTGCAATGTAACACGTCGTGACTGCACGTTTGCTGGACCTGGCACGGTAGTACTCGTATGAGGTGCAGTAGGTGTCCGTGTCGTGGACGTCGGGGTGGCGGCAGGCTGATAATGCGATGACGCCTGGACTCGAACTTGACCATGGTTGCTGCTGTGGTTGTTCCGCCTGTTGAGGAGATGCACAGCAGAGAAAAAGCACGAGATGAGCCCATAATGAGAGGTCGTGACTGCACGGTTGTTGCAGCAGTGTCAGCAGGCTGGATGCTGGTGCGTGAACGATCTCGTCCCGGCCGCGGAGCAACATACAATGCCTGCACAGAAATCATCAGACTCCAGCAATTAAAGCACTGAGTCAAGACATTCCTGCTTGCCCCGCGTTGCAGCCACTTCGACGACATGGGGACTACGACGAGAGGTGCTTTGCCTTGGGCATATCAGTGGTTCGATTTTTTCATTGGTAGCAGGCGGAGAGCGGAAGAGTGAGGATAGGCGGCCGATGTATATCCGGAAAGGCGTTGTGGGTTGTTGAGGTTTGGTTTCTGAGTCGGTGTTGAGCCGAGAGTGAGGTAAGAGTGAGGACAGACGACCAAGGAGCGCATGGGAACATAACCCCGAAGGCGTGGGGGGTTGCTGGAGTTCCTTTTCTGCATCGTCATCAGATGGAGAGCGGTGGATGAGTGAGGACAGGCGAGCGATGATCATATGTGGATGTAACACTGAAGGCCTTGGCAGTTGCGGAGGTTTAGTTGCTTCATCATTGTCGGGTAGAGAGCGGTGAAGGAACGAGGAAAGGCGGCCGAAAAGTGCACTGGCAGAGGAATGAGGATGGGCATCGCCCTTTACGGAAGACTGAGAGCATGGAGGTCCAGACAAGAACTAATTGATAGACATGCAGATGCTCGTGCACATGAACATCGGGTTGCATGCCGTCGAAAAATGTTGGGGGAGTTCATCAACACCCCGTGTAGCACCAACATAGCAAGTTAATGTTATAGCAATTCACAAATTCACAAAACATCCAAAAATGACTTGTCGTCTATGTCCTGCGAGGAGTGAGGTGTATGCTCCGTTCCCAGGGCGTTGCTGGATGACGCCTCCAGTTCGAGTCCATCCTAACAGCAGAGATTGTCAGCGATAGTGAGTATGCGATATGCTGACACTCACATTAGTATCGGATAATTAGTCTTCAGCTTCTTTGAGGATGTCTTGAATATCACGTACGTACGCATTACTGTCCTCGCAGCCAGTGACTAGCAGCTTTCCGTCGGCAGAAAAAGCTGCGCACTCCACAAATTTGTTATGCTGGGTGGGTGGCCCGAGTGAAAGGTTCGTGTCGAGATTCCACAGACGAGCTGTTTTACCCCATGATGCAGTCGCGAGGAGGCGGTCATCTGGTGACAAAGTGATGAAGCGGATCAAGTGTTTGTGACGATCTGCTGCAAAGTGGCGGTGTCAAATATTATGATCAAGTCATATGACGCAGAGATAATCTTCTTTCCATCCGATGTCCATGCCAAGCAGTAAACCAGCCACTGAGTGTGAGTGTGGATATCAGCCTTCCCGTCTTGCTATTCCAGATTTTTACACCAGTGTCGTCGTATCCGCCTGTTGCAATTCTCTCCGAGTTGGGCGAGTAAATCACACTCCACTCGAAAAGAATTGCAACAGCCCCATCCACCGGTGCAGGGTCTTGACTGTCAGGACACGGTTGTGCCGTTCTTGACATGCCACACGCTTGTTGCCCCATCCGCAGATCCACTCAAAACTCGCTCGCCATTTGCATTGCAGCAAACTTGAACTGACCACACATCCTTAGTGTGCCGTGTCAATTAGTAATGACCTTCCCCGTCTTGATGTTCCATCCCATCATCGCTTCCGCTAGCGACAATATGGCCGTTTGGAGACAATGCTACGGTGTACACTCCTGCATTATCCCCTTCGTCTCCCCAGTCATCGCCAATCTGTACGCCGCTTTCCAGATCCCATAGTCGGAGTGAGTTGTCCAACGAAGATGTGATGATGCGGTGTCCGCCGGGCAGGTGTACAACACTTCGTACCCGGGTGGTATGGCCTCGCAACGCCTGGCGCAGCGTGATCGCTGGCATACTTTGCATCTCAGCGGTGGACGAATAAAGCTTCAACAGGCTATCCAGCAATGATAAAAGATTGTTGATGAGGCGATATCCGTGTGCAAATTTTTTGACTGCGTTCGTCAAGAATTCGCAGGAAATTTTTGTGGAAATCGAACATGGCTGATAAGCTCTGGTAAGTAAGTGGTCAGCTTTGCCTTGCAGAAGAGCCTTGATATTCATTACTCACGAGAATCACCTGTTATAAGCTGAGAGAGAGTGCGTTGATTGGGAGTCAAGGAAGTCGGGCACCCGCCAGTTCAAATCGTCTTTAAGGTGCGTGCTACACGTAATACGTATATACTGCTGCCTGCACCAGCCCATTTTTTCTAAGGTGGCAATGTCGTGTTTAGTCTAACCCTCGGCCAGTTTTGCTTGGTCTCCCCTAGACAAATGAAGATAACCGTTCTTTCTATACTGTAGTTTCTTGCTCAAACTCGCATCGGTCTCGTTCGGTGTCAATGAGTCTGGATCTTGCGACAAAAGATTGAGTGTGATTTCCTTTAGATGTTGTCTGTAGGACGTACAAAAGCGCTGATATAGTGAATGTGTACTTGAGGTGAAAATAAAAGTGAACATGATGGGATTAAGAAAGAAAGATGGATGACAAGCCCGGCGAATGGCAGGAAGTAAAAAAGAAATCGTAAAAATCTCTCTGGCGGGGAATCGAACCCCGCTTTCCCGCGGTCGCGTTTCTTACATGACAGGCGGGTGTACTATCCGATATACTACCAGAGACATGTCATGGTCCTGTCCCTTTACTATATGGTTAGGAATCGTTATAAATACCTACCCGTGAATCATATCGACCAAATGTCGGCCACGAGTTTGGTGTGATATTCTCGAATGGCAAGGATCAGGCATGACCAACAAAATCCGAAGAAAACCAAGATATAGATCAGTTCTCGGGGAAGTTGTGTCCTATAATGATAAAAATAATGAACACGCAGGAGTCAGTGACAGATCGGCATACTGCTGAGATGGTTGAACGTCAGCGGACAAAGGGACCCAAATTCGCTTATGAGCTCATCTCGCAAAGAAACCCACGTGAGTTTTCATCAACACCGTCGTGATTCACGGTGTTTTACAGCATCCAAACTCCAAAACATAGTGCGAGGACCTCCCACAAAGTTGTGAGTATCTAGGTGCCGGAGAGACTGAGCTCCTCTGGTATTCGTCGATAAGCCTGATGCACTTGAGTCTTTGAGCCACAATTACACATATCCCTTGATATATTCGTCAATTATATTGCCCGTCAAAAATGTTGACAACAAGGAAGATGCTAAACTCCTACCGGATCGTTATTCATAATTCAAGCCGCACCTTCAAGATATCTAGTGCTGCCGTGGTCCGGTTCGGTTCGGTTCAGAGGGTCCTCGACAAGAACCAAGAACCGAACCATGGTTCGGTTCTACAAAATTGTCGAACCCAGAACCGGACCATTGAGAACGGTTCTCAATGGTCCGGTTCGGTTTTTTTCTGGTCCGAACGCGAACCGAACCATAAATTTTTCAAGTATAAATTTTTTGACACAGTTACATGACACTGAGTAGCTAGTTGAAGTCCAACTACTTAAGATGTCCTCAGGTTGGGTGTAGAGGGACGCATTGTCAACACCGTCCTGTTCACAACCGGTAATACCAATCTCCATCTCCAGCCAGATACCAAGGAGTGCTATGCACTTGTAGTACTTCTCGCAACTGTGCGAATATGGACCATGGTGGGCGTGTCTCTGCAGAACTAGAGGTGTAGCCTGATCCAAGTCTTCAGCATTGCCTCGGTAATCAAAGCGGATGGAGAGTAAAGCTGCAAGATGATGAAGACCGATGCGTGTGACCGACGCTAACATCTCCCTCTGCTGAGTTTGTTGAACCCGGAATAGCATTGATCGGGGCGAACACAGGGTCAAAGATACTGTCAGGTGAGTCTTCAGAAGAGAGGTGATTGCGGTCTCTTGATAGAGATCTGTCTCGAGGAGGCTCACCAGAGTTGGTACGTGAAGCAAACAATTGAGAGCGAAGATGTGCCCTGGCGTTGGTACGGTGATGTTCCGTGGCACTCTCCAATACCAATGAGTTGCTGGACACTGTCGTAGCGGAGGCATACAAGCGGGAATGAAGGCGATAGCGAGCCGGAGGATGAACATACGCACCAAACATGTCCTCCTCATCTCGTCTCGTCTCGTCCGTCCTTCCCCACCCCCAGATTACTGTAGTATTCCCTTACTCGTCGATACACGCTATACCCCATACCCTCGTAAATGAGAGCCCCATGAAAATGATACGTGTAGGGATGATGTGAGCTGTGAGGCAAGAACAAATAACTAGAGGGGGGAAAGCACCGGGCAAGTGAACGAGGTGAAATTGAGGCAATGCGAAGAGTAGGAGCTAACATGAGAAGTTCCAGCACGATAGATGTGAGAGTGTAATATTGGTCGACCGAGCAGGTTGGTTTGGTCCGGATGATTGGGACGCAAATCAAGGGTGCCTTGAAAAAGAGAGATAGAGATGTCGAGGTCAATGAGTGAGAGACTGAGATGAGAGACCAGCATGATTTGAGCGAACATTTGAAGCAGCATAAAATGCACAAAACACGCACCTCTGCAGCTTAGAGCAAGACACAATCCCTCCAAAGTCCACCTTGACCGTGCCTAACGCATCCACCTCCAGTAAAAGATAGTCCCATGTTGTAGCCGATCCTCGATAATCAATTAATGTGCGCCTTGACAACACGTGATTCTGCCAGTAGTAGTTGGTTGAAAATTGAGCCAGCGGGTCATGTGAGAGTTTGATTGATTAGTACTTACCTTTAAAAAGGCTAAAGGTAGCCTGATTAACCAATAATGCAAATCCCGAAGACAACAGTTTGACGTGGAGACCAATGTTGTCGCAGTCAAAGTCAAAGTCGATAATGGTTCGGAATGGTTCGGCAAGGCCGAACCAGAACGGGACCGTTCGGGAAGACCTAGAACCGAGAACCGTTTTCCGGTCCGGTTCTGGCTGGTATGAGAACCATGGACCGAACCGCGAAGAACCGGACCAAAAGTCCGGTTCGAACCATGGTTCTGGACCGGACCATGGCAGCACTAAAGATATCCAACAAAGCGATACAGACATCGCCGCAGCGGTTGGCATTGGTCTGTTTGAACATGAAACTTGTGAGTGACTGATGCAAGCAGACGTGGTTGGCAAGTGGTTACATAAAGTCTCCTAGGCAGCACCTGTGACTCCCACATAAGTACCGTAACTACAGGAGATAATGCACGTGTTTCGCACCTGTAAGACGAGGGGGATCCAACGGATCAGCGCCTCCTTCAATATTCCCTGGATAAAGAGGGACTTTAGAGAACAATATGTACCATAGCGTGTTATTATTAATACCACCTATTATTAGACTCACGTGATTCGGTTACCGTGCCCAACGTCGCATAGTGATGGGAACCTACGAGCTCGCTGTGCGACACGATGAGCTCGAGTATCTCACTCAAAAATGGTCGGATTGACGGCGCGTTTCGACGAAAAGTGCACCAGTAATAATTGTGTTACATAGATGAGTCTTATGGGTCCATCAAAGTAGACTAAGGCAATGTAAGACTACTATTCATCCCCCTCCTCTTCGCCAGAAGACTCCACATATTCAGCGCTTTTAGGACCTTCCTGCAGCTGGGCAGGGTTCTTCTTTGCTTTCTTCGATGGCCTATGATTCTCCTTACTTGCCCGTCCTGCGCTAGACCCGCCTTTACGTTTCTGAGGTAATCCAGCGTCTGAACGCTTTTTTCGTGGTTTCCGAACAACTTCTCCAGCTGAACGGCGTGTATTGAGTTCAGACACGTGAGCTTGGACCTCCGCAGATGAAAGAACAGTCCAGTAGCACGTACGTGCCTTGAGGGCGTCACGGAGCTTGCGAATGTCGCCGACGGTCCCGATGTTCGAAGGGCTTGTGAACTTGACACCATGGGGCCAGCCCACAAGGCGCACTCCGTACATTTCGATGACGGACGTTTCATAGTTGTTGTAATTCATCACGATACCTTTTTTGCCGGTCACAGCAACTGTGAATAATGTTAGACGGGGGCGGCATGTGTAGAACACATTGATACTCACCTAGGCCCCGGAGTATCAGTTTGCGTACTTGCTTTCTCACAGCTTCCAAAGAGTCCCGTTCATTGAGATCTATGGGAGTTGCATAAGTACACGAGCTATATAACAAGACGAAGGACTTACTTTGATTTTGCGTGCACGCCCATTGTTCATATTGCCTGAGAAAATCGGCCATAGGATGCTCGTATACATCCTCCCAAAAATCTTCAGAATTATCTGTGCCGTGCATCGCGCTTTGAATGGTGTCATTGATGTGACCACGGACGACAAATAGTGTGCCATAGACACCAGTCCGAACCCGCAGATCATCCAGCTTCAAAGAACAATGAGTTTAGTTAGTTGCTGTGGAAATTCAAACATACCTCCTTGACGATCCTATCCGTTGTGGCTACAACGTCTCGCGCAGCTGCCAGATTGTTCGCCCGAACACTAACGACCTTTTTTTCGCAATGCTCCTCGAGAGCTGCAATGTAACCTTCCTTTTCTTCCCTGGTAAGGCTCTTTGTCTCAGGGTCAGCCGCAACCATCTCACGAAGTTCGGCCAACGAGTACCGAGAGCCTGCGGGTCGGTCTAGTTGATGCAAGATAAGCTTCGTGATACGATTGAGTAAAAATTGATCCGACTTACCTGTGTTCATCTCTTTCGCCTTGGCATGAACCAGTGCATTGATTAATTGACTTTTGCGGGAGGTTCGATAATGCGTCTGACTGCCGATGATATCATTGATGTGCTTGGGAGTAACGTGGTGAGCCCGCGAGAGTGCTTCGATCTTCATTTTCTGTGCATTCAAGTATTCAGCGACCGCGTCATGTAAGTGCTTCGTTCTCTCGAGCTTCTGGTCCCTCTTGATCTTTCGAGACGCCTTATGGGCATCTGTTAGTCGAGGTGGTGGTGTCCGAGGGCGGATAATTGCTCGTGTTGGGTTCCGTGCTGCCCAGGAGGACGTGTTTGCCTCGTGGAGTGATTCTGGTATGTTTATAATGGTGTCCGGCGCCTCTGCTTCGGTGGGACTTGGCTGAGGTGATGGTGTGCGAGCAGGGGGAGCGGGGAGCTCTGGAATAGTTGGGATATTTGTAGCTGCTATGTCCTTAGTGAGAGCTGCGATTTTGTCGTTGGTAAGCGGCATCGTGTACAGAGACGGGTCATCCCAGTTGATCTGATTGATGTTGGGAACCCGTTCACTGCCAGTGCTGCTGACCGGATCAAAATCGTCGCCTGAAACACCTGAAAAATCTCTGGTCAAAATGAAATCGCCATTGGCATCAAAATCATCTGCTACGTAGAGGCTCATACTTGGAGCTGTGGGTAGACAAATAGACGGGGACACAACTTCAGAGTTTGGTGTGTGACGGATCATATAGATCACGCCAATAATCGACACGCGACACATCCTATCATTCAACACCATTTTTTTGAAAAAAAAAAAAGGCATAAATCGGTGTAAGATCTTGAGGTCAACATATTAGTGGCAGTGCAAAGCAGTGCTGATCGAGGCATACCTTCAATATACATGTTGCGCGACTGGGGTCCGCTAGGTCCGCTTGGAGCAGACGGTGGTGACATAGCCTCACTTGGGGGCAGTTGTGTCAGCTTCTCATCAGCTCTAGAGCATGGTGAGTGTGGGGGTTCCCGCGCAT